ACACACACACACACACACACACACACACACGTATGCTATCTCCTGTGTTTCTCATCAAGTGCAGAATGTCAATTAGCCAGCCTCACAGTCAGAATATTGTCTGTCTCTTCAAGGTTAAATAGCACCTTCGTCCCAGTGATTCCAATGACAGCAGAGACTCAATGTCCACAAGAGGCTTTAACTGTGAAAGTGAGCAGACATTGTTTTCTATGTAATTAATGAAACAGTTGAAACCACTGCATGCACACACACATGCATGCGCTCTCCCACTCACAAACACACACATGATTGCACACCACACACATAGAGCGCAGTGCTCCATGTTGGAGTGGCTTATTGTTCTCTCTAGTATAGAGGACACAATATCCAAGTCTGCTAATAGAGGTTAGATTAATTGCTGACAAATCTGTATTCAGCAGTTCCCTTTCTCTCTGCTTGACAGATTTATGACAGAGATTGATGGAGGGGAGGGAAGAGCCGAGAGCCGTCTGTGTTCGGTGAGAAAAGAGGACAACAGCTCACTGAGTCAAAGAGAAATGAAGAAAACAAAAAAAGAGAATAAAAGACAAACAGGGATTGTTGTGGTTGGATCTTGCGCACATCCAACAATTTTGTCTTTGAGCTTGTAGAAGGCAGACACTAGAATAAATAGCTCCAAAAAACCATTGTTGGCTTTTTATAGGGGGACATCACTCTTTAAGAGGAATAGGCTTTTTTACAGCAGACATTTTAACCATCCTTTTTTTATGACATTCTTTTTTCATTATTAATTATTTGATTACATTTCTCCATACCTGAATTTGTTTCAACCCATGTAAGCTTGTGCATTGTTACTTAAGTTAAATATACTCTCTAATTTTTATTTTTGTTTGTTAAGCGTATAAAAGTAAAAAAAAATCATCATTAAAAAAAGGAAAAGCACTAGTATCATTAACAATGGCCAAATTAACAAAACTGGGAAACCAAGGCAGCTAAAGGGAATTCAGCCAACATTCAAGTTATTATTTGTAAAAACTATGTTTGTTACAATGTCTTTTGACAAACTGCATGATTTAGTCTACTGCCCAAAGTAAAATCAACATTTAGTTTGAGCTGAACAAAAGGAAACCACAAGCTTAAGGTGTTAGACACAAAGACTATTTCTTGGATTTGAACAGTTAATAGGCTTCAGAGGAGCCTCGGAGGAATCTCTTTCCGACACCAAGCTAAGCTAAACTGCAGCTAACTTCATTGTGTTAACAAATGAAACACAAGAGTACTGATCTTCTCATCAAAGTCTCAAGTAAACAAATGAGCATATTATCCTGAATTGTGGTGTTACATTGGTATAGATGTTTCCATTATTGAACACGTGTGCAACTGATAACACAACTCTCTAAACCAGTTTATGAGCTAAAAGGTTTTTACTGAAATCCTGCAGCACTATGTCAACGACACAATCCAAGCTAGAAGTGCAGCTAACACGAAATATCTGTAAATACATGGAAATTGTAGTGTTTGGATCGTTTGATCAAAGAATCCATGTGTGGAGCATGTTTGGAGCTGTACATGTGACTGATAATGACAGTGAAGTGGGACGTGTGAGTCACTTGAATTAATTCCACACATCTCGTAGACACGACAGGACACAGTGGAAAACTCTCACATGTCCCCTCGTGGAACCTCGTTGGAGCAGGGTGTGGACCAGAAGTTTCCTCACGTGACCGTCGGTGTCACATGACTTCATTTCTTCTTGCGTCGAGTAGAGAGTCTTTTCTACCGGAGTCTGCATGGTGCACATTGTACAACACAACTTAGATGAGAAGTGTAGAATAAAGTGATCTGAACGAAGAATCCTTATTCATCGTTTCATTTATTTCAGGCGGAAGCTGGCGTCACCCATGACGAGTTCAAGGACTGTTGGGAAAGTTCGATACATTCTTCTGTTTTGTATATTGTAAACTTCAGAGGGGTCACTAATAATGGCTGCACTCCACTTAGGTGGCTCACCTGCTGGGATGAAACAGATCAAAAATGATTATAGTTAAACATTTGTTTTTCCTACTATGAAAATCTCCCACACAGACCAACTCGTGACACGTGGTTCTGGATTAAACTCAGATAGTAGAAGAATGACAGTGAAAGCAAACTAATGGACACATGTTTAATGCTGACTAATGTTAATACTGACCTGTGTTTATTCATTCTGACGTTTGTAGCAGTTCTATTATTATCTATTATATTATTATATATTATCCAGCTGCAGTTTGTTCACCCTCCATCACAAAAAGCACATGAGCACAAGAGTGTTTGAATCTAGGAAGAGAGACATTGGGGCCAGTGTTCCTCCTCAGCTGATTGGTCCTTAATGACGCTGGACCCACATGAACACACAGTGAATATGAGGCTTATTTTGACTGTAGAAAAACATATAATCGTGGAATCAGGAATCAAATGCAGATCAATGGATCAGGTTGATGCTGCAGGTCCGAGAATTTTTTTTTTTTTATCTTTATTACTCGCAACAGAGATTAGGAACAACATCAACAATAAAACCTGTTTCAAAAACAGAAACAAAGAATACCTTTTAAAGCTAGGGGATAACTGAAAGTGAAATAAAACATACAATATTTAAATTCTTACAAGCTGGTATAGTTTCGAATGCTTTTGTTTTTTGTAGAATGTCAAATTGAATCAGCTCATTGTCTGAACTGTCTGCTCAATGCAACAAAGCACGACGAATTTAAAATTTACGAATAAGAGATTTTGCTATTTTAATACGATTAATCACGTGTCTTCCTGTGTCAATTTTCAATTAATTTGCTTAGTAAAAACTTTATTTATATCGCACGTGTCAACACAAGTACAAAGTGCTGCACAACAAGAAAACAAATGGTTGAACTACAGAAGGCAGTACATAAATAATAATGATAATAATCATCATCATCATAGAGACCAAACAACACATTTTCCCCTGACAAGACAAGGCCATCGTCAGTAAATTCAATTGTAAAAACATTTTGCAGATAAGTCTGTTCCTAAATTATCCTGTCAACCTTCCCCTCTTCCACATGATGTCACAGCCACCAGCTCACCTGATTGGTTCACTCTACAGCCCGCCAGCTGTTTGTAATCAGGAGCATTTTTGGGGAGTAAGGATCACATGACACCCTCAGGGCACACACAGATGCACACACACTTGCACACACAAATGCACACATATACATATACACGCAGAGAGCACAGTGCATCTTTAACCTCACACCCCTTCCCACAGGCTACCCCTTTGCAGTCAGGATCACCTCCAGATGTGCACACTGTGTTTTCACCTCAGGATAAAAAGCAAGGGAAGGGGGTGCAGCACAAATGGAAATGGAAACAGATTCAAGATGCTGGGAGGACAGTGAAGGAGTTGATGTAGGTTTGTTCTCATGCAGTTACTTCTCAGGTTTAGGCATGTGTGCTATCTGCTTAAAATGATGAAACAAGCCAGAATTTAGATAAATACCAGGAGGCCAAACTCATCTTATATCAGGAGGCCAAACTCAATGTTGGGACTCTGCTGCCTTCTAGTGGAGCAACTCATAACAAACATCAACGCACACGTGAACAAATAATATGTCACTTGGCACTTTATAATAAAAAATGACCCCAAAAACATGACGTTGTATTAGAAATTCTAGTGTCCAAGCTTTAGGTAATGAATCTCTTACTTATTCTTTTCTTACACTGTAAATTATCTTTTATTCTGTACCCTTCACCACCTTTATTTACAATCTCTGCATGACACACTTGTGTAAGCATCAACACTGAACGTCCAAGGACAGGACAAGATGAGATGACCTGAAAGTGTGGGCCACCACCAAAATATTGTTTCTGTACTCAAAGTGTTAACAATGCATGACTCGGTGTTATGTGTGACCCATCTAGCAGGTACAAATCATTGATATTCCTTCTTTACTTTGCTCATTTTCACATCTCATGGACGTGGTCGTGTTGTGAGTCCATCTGCAGGAGCCAAATTAAATGTCACAAAGGCGTTGCTCGTCATTCAAACGAAAATGACCACCAATATGTTATATATATAAAAAACGGACATTTTCATTTAAACAGTATAGGTATTTATTTTCCATTAATCAAAACTTAAATTACACATACATATAAAACATGTATAATTCCTTTGCCCTGGACTAATCGTTCAGTGGTTGAACGGACAAGGCTTTGCTCTTTCTATGGCTCCAAGACTATAGGAATAAGTTTACAGCAGTCCAGATGTTCTTTTCCCTGAAATAACATCTGCTCTCTCTCTCTTTCTTTGACCGTTCTCTTGAAACAGATACAGGTTTTAGTTCATTAGGACACAGCCTCACACAGTTTTCACTTATATCAACACATAATAATTGAAATAGGCAGGTGAGGAGACAAAGGTCTCTTGCTGTATTTTTATATAACAAAGACATTTGTCCAAAATGAGTCACAGTAAGAATTTTTTCCGGCAGCTTTTGCCTCATTACTGACGTTTAAAATGTCTGTTTTTGGTCAGATGTAAGGTCAAAGGTCAAAATGATCAGCACTACAGGAAATGGTTATGTATTCTGTGACAGGCACACATGTACAGCACATATATTTATACACACATACGTCTAAATGTATGACCACTTGTGGTCACGTGTATATATTGAAGGCATTTTATTTTATGTTTTTCACACATTCACATATACATTAATGAGTTGAACCTCAACGTTAAGACACATGTTGTTCATTACTTTAACGATCACTATATAAATGATGTATTCTGTTACAGCACATTCATGGTCATTGACACGAGATGTTTAAAAGTGTTTTTTTTTACAATTTGGTCAATCCCAGTGTGGAAGTATTTTCAGTTTATTCCTTAATTTACAGCATTTTCAGTATTTTAGGCTTTGTATATATATATGTACACAATGGATAATATTTAGTCATGCTGTTCCACAGTTAATGATGGGTCCTCAGACACATGATGAGCATTCATTCAAAACTCTGTCAGAGTCAAAGCAGATGTGTGACAGTAAAAACACTGTATGAAACTTTCATTCATGTCTTGGAGGAGGTTTTACTGCATGTAAGGTTAGTGATAGATTACTGCACTTGTGCAGATTGCTTTAAAGTCACTTGAAAGGAAATGATGGGGACTATGTTAGGAAGCCTTGAGAATGATTATACTGTATATAAAACAATTCACTAATTGATATCTCATTAGACAGTACAACAAGGACATTATAGATTAGAAACAGGAGAAAATATTGATAGCAGTGGCGGATAGGATTTTTCTGGGACCATAAAGGGGCCACAGTTTACAGAGGGAACAATTATATGTCAAACATCCGTGTAGATTTTCTGATTCAGTAAGGTGCATTTATTTAATTCCCTTTTAGTGTTGTTAGCTCTATAGATTTGAGCAAAACCACACATCACTGAATATGTTTTGAAAATGATTCCTTGTTTAAGAACAATGTGTTCTGCTAGTAAGTGACTGGTTTATTTAAAAAAAGACTACTGATAGGGGCACTTCAGGGACCAATCAGACTTGGGGCCAGCACCTCCTTTAATGGATCAATTTTTAATAGATTACTTTATTGAATCACTGCAAATGTACTTGAAAGTTTGGGGAAATTGTTTTTAGTTTCAAGTAATTTAAAAGGAAACAATGTAATTTCTATAAGTTAACAAATATTTTTTCTTATAAATCGAGAAATAGTGGAATTCAGTAGCAATGAAATACACATTTAATCTGATCAACAACCTCACTTGACCTGGAATGATCAGTGAAGCAACGCTTCAAGAAATTGCTGTGTAACTAACTTTTTGCTGCTAATTTCTTACTACTTATGCAACAGTTAATACTAAATTTAGTTTATTAAAATGTTTATTAAAAATCAATGGATTCTCCAGCTTCTCCATCGACAATAGAAGGATGTGACAATCAGTTTATTAGACAAATTCCTGCTGTCTGCTGTCTCTCCATGTAAGATCAACCTGTGGTGGTATTTTATAGAGTTCATTCATTAAACCATTATTGACGCGCTGCATTCTTCAGCCTCTCCCTCAGCTCCCTTTACTCATTACAGTATATACAGAAAGTAAAGAGATTTTTAATATCTAAAAATAAACAACTATAATAAATTATTGTAAAATCATTTCATTGCTTAATATATTGTTGGAAAATAAAATATATCACAAAGTCTTTATCTACAGAAAGTGCTACTGCAAATAAAGTTATTGGTAATTATTGAAGCTCATTCTCTCACACCAGAATCTCTCTGCTCCCTTTAGCTCCACAACTGCAACAATTAGATGTGATGATGATAGTAGAAAATTAGGAGAATGCATTAGAGAAGAATCTTAGGGATAATGTCACAATATCACTTTTCAGTAATGTAATTGTGTGTAATTGTTTTTTGGCAAACATAAGTAAAGTGATTATCTTTTGGTTTCAAATATAACATTTTCCTAAACAGCCATTATTTCACCAAGGGATGGATAAACAAGGTTGCACTGGTACAAAAGGACCCAGATTTAAAAAAAAGATGTGGTAAGGTCAATATAGGTTTTGTATGAGGAAAATTATTGCTTGAAAGAAAAGGCTGTACCATCCCACACTCAAAAGCACACACACACACACACACACACACACACACACACACACACACACACACACCTGACGTCATCTACAGTGCCTTGCATTAGCATTCATAACCTTGTCTGAGGTAAAGAAATAAGTCACTGTACTAACACATGACAAACATTTGGCTGAACAACCTCCATTCTCGATAACCATCGTCCATAAATGAAAATATTTCACCTAAAAAAACACATTATTATTATTGATGCCACTGCTTCAACTGAAGTGGGTCTTCTAACTTTTACAGATTTCAGTTTACACCATCACACAATACTGACCACAAAGTTTTATGCCCACAAATGAGAATTTGTCTACTGAACCTGTAATGTATTCTTAAAATCTACTAAATACCTGACAATAACACTATTTTAAAAAAATGAATAATGCACTCATGTTCCATGGAATAAATAGACTGGTAGATTTAAGAAATGATTAGTAGGAGACCTACAAGATTATTAAAAAGAACCTGGTTTGTTTTTGAAGGGGGGGGGGTGTGCCAGCAGACTCATCTATCTTTGTGAGGACCAAAAAAAGAAAAATTCCCAAATGAAGACCTTCGTGTCATTATCATAATATCATAATATGCTCAGAAGCCAGTTTATTAGCTAAATATCACAAAAACTAATTCAGTATTGGGTCTGTTCCCATCACATAAATAGGGTAGACAAAATATTTAAAACATTTCTCTCAATGCAGTTCAAAAGCATCACAAACTGCATCCTCTATAAATGAATTTACACTTTTCTGAAACTGTTTCAACAAAAAATGAACATTAGAAACTTCATCAAGGTATGATCAGGGCTATTGGATTGGATTTTTTTGTTGTATTAGACTATCGGTTTTAGCTTGGTATATAATCAGTCCTCACAAAGCTAAAAGAATGTGCATGTCTGTCTGTATGCAAGTGTAATGCGGTCTGTGGTCTGTGTTGCAGGCAGCTGGTACAAATCATTGAGACTTTCTTCTCTAAGCACTGAAGTGGCCGACGGTCAATGCAGCCAAATCACAGCAGCATCCTGAGGTCCAGAACTACAGTCAAACGACACAGTCAAGTCTGTTGGGACTCTGGACATCGTTTACTCATCTATGAATGTGATCCCTTCAATCCTGCGGTGGAAAAACATACAAATACAAGAGGTAAGATAACACAGAAGGAGTTTTGCTGGAATTTGCAACCACAAATCAATCTGGAGCATAGACTGTATGTAGAGATGAACAACTCTTCTCCACTCTTCTCACAGACTGTGTGATCCGGGATGGGGCAGCAGTAGCAAGGTCCTACCCATACATTCGCTCGATCAATCATTAGTCATACATCAGTGTGATAACAACTACCTAAAAATGATAAAAACCATCTTTGAGAAAACTCTATTCATCAAGAAACTTTGGCTTCACTTTTGGGGGACTGTCATGTCCATCTTTATATAAAGTCTATGCACTGCAACAACAGGAAACATAATATGAGTGAGTGAAGATTGTGTCTGAGAAATATTTCCCCAAAGCAAGGGTGAGGAGGAGGATGAGAGAGAGAGAGAGAGGGTGTGGCCTTGCCTTCTTAGCAGCCACAGGACGAGAGTCCCTTTGATTGGAGTTGAGGGATTTCCACACGGTGGTTTTAGACATTTCATCGGATATATTAATGTCAGAGGGGTCACACCTGAGGAGCGGGGACAGGAGACGAACGGTAAGATGAGAGAGCAGAGAGGGGAGGAGAGATGGGGTTTAGGGAGAGCTCAGGGTGTTAGTAGTCACAGGGTGAGCAGACCACACACCAAATATAGAGGAAGGTGAAAGAAACATTTCTCTATTCTTACCATCATCTGGTGCACGTTCTGTCCATTTCATTCTGTGTAGGTGTGCATGTACTATTGGTGAACTCACCTGGGATCATGTGCTTTTATGGTCTGAGCAGACTTGCTGCTCTCCATCTGAATCTGAACTGTAGATGTATCTTCCTGCTTCGCACTGAGCATCACCTGTGATTCCTAGGAGACACACATACAATAAAAACATGATGTCAATATGTGCACATTTGTATGTTTTCATCAGGGCATTTGAAGATTTCCTCTACCTCTTCTATCTTTTTGGAGGCATCGTCAAGATTCTTTTTCTTCCATTCGGGCATCAAATCATCCAGGTAACTCAGCTCTCGCTTAGAGAAGCACAAGTCCAGCAGTTTGCGCACAAAAACCAGAGCCAGCACCTGGAGGAGAAAGGGTGAGAACTGTGTTATTTAAATGGGAGAGATGGGGAGAGGATGTTGGCGGTGGTCAGCTCACCATCATGGGGAAGACGATAGCAGCGGGCGAAGTCTTGATGACCCAGAGCAGCACCAGACAGGTGAGCTGGGTGAGCGTGAACATGTGCACCTTCCTCAGGGGGACGTGGCGCAGGTAGATGAAGTCTGGCTGGTGCTTCGCTGGCATGCCGAACAGCTTCAGGCGGTCAAAGAACTGAGATGTAAAGAAGGAGAACACAGGTGGAAGGGGTATAGGGAGGGAGAGAGGGTAAGGAGAGAAATAAGAACAGAGCCAAACAGAGAGGCAGATGGTGAATATGGCAAGAAATCAGTGACACATTTATTTAAATAGTTTGGAAAATTAACTGTGAGGCCTCATTGAATTGCAGCAGAAGCAATAAAAGTATTATGAAGTAATAACGATAAATAGAAAAATATAAAAGTTTAAAATATACATGCACACATCCCCACTCCTGTGCCAAATGTAAACATGTACCTATCAAATGTCATGTTACCTGGATGCCTTTTAATGAAGAGGCTCCCATGTAAAGGAAAACCCCATACAAGACTGGCATAGGAATGTACTGAAAAAAAGAGCAGAAACACTGATTAAAATGTCCCAGCCAGAAGGGGGCAGAATTGCACAGCTTATCTGGACTAACCTGCAGGGCTCCGGTCATGAACACAGAGCAGCCCATGAGCAGGAAGATGACGAGGCCTGTGAGTCTCTGCTCTCTAATGCCCAGGAAGCGAGGCTGCTCCCCGGGAGCCGAGCTCTCTGACTCCAGCTTCAGGCTGTTGACGTGAGAAATGGACAGGACAGTGGCTGCTACGAACCAGGGCAAGCCCATGATGGAGCACACTGCCAGCATCAGCCCCACCATCAACAAGTCCAGGTGGTACCCACAGCCCTTCTGCAAAACACAAGGACAGGTGCAGGTTCACAGAGCAGCTGTCCACAACCTAGAAATAAAAGCTGCAGGATAAAAGTCTTCAAAATGTCCCTTGCCAGTAGTTTGTGCTCTTTGCGGTTGATGATGACAGCAGTGATCTGCTGGTCCATGAAGATGAGGATGGTGCAAAGGAGAGCAGGAATGGAGGCAGCCAGCACCGTCCACCATGGGTTACGTCCTATTGGATTAATCAGCCAACCTCGATCATCTCTGGTGGGCTTGAGGGACACGTCACAGAGGAGTCAGGCCATGACTCCACAATGGATTACATTAAGGACAACGTTATCATACGTTTTTCAGTATACCTGGAATTTGCTGGGCACCTTCAACTTCTGGGATGGTACTCCAATGACATAGTCAAGCAGAACCATGAAGACAATGGTAAGGAACACCGCAAAGTCACTGATCATGGACCGCACCTGGGCACAGGTAATAACAACAATTAGAAATCAGTGGTGGCTAATGTGGCATGTCAGTTTTGCCAATTTCTAGAGATCAGTCAGAGTTTGATTACCTTGGTGGGGAAATAACGACTTGTCTTGAATTGTTTGAGAAAGGCCGACATGAAGAAGGTTGAGAAGAACAAAATGGTGGACCAGAAGAGAACATCTGGGGTGTAAGGGCCATGGTGGCCACATGCCGTCCCAACAAAGTGACCCTGCAGATTGTTACACTCCTGTAGAGATTCACAGAGATAATTTTAGAAGAGAGATGCATCAGATGAATCAAAAGAAAATAGATCAAAAGACTGTTTTATCTTAACGATCAGGCAGGTCTATAAAGTGGAAACACATAATGCAATAAAAACACGACCAGCTCTTTGTGTACTCAGTTATACACGGTAGCAAAACATTTTATTGATTGAATGCCAGAGTTAGTGTTTGCAAAGGCCCTAAAGAGAGGTAAGCTGCTCACAGGAGGGTGAGGGGTCAGTTAAATGTTAACTACCTGCTGAATGCTAGCATGCGAAAGGTATACTGACATAAGGGGGCCTAAAGAGTGTGTGAGTGTGTGTTTGTTTCCACATAGTTAGGTTACCTTGACAGTGAGGTTGGCCCAGGATACATTAGACGCTGTGATGTTTTTGTCACTCCACAGCTCTAATGTTTTATTACTGGGATTATCAGGTTCTGCACACCTGCAGCTACAGAGACAGAGACACACAGAGTGAAATCAGTAATATATGAACTTAGAAGAGAGGAAAGAGAGACAATGAAACAATGCAGTGCAGTTTCAGTTCATACAGTGTATATACTTTTTTCCAGGCTCTTTCCCTGTGATCTTTGAACACTGAATTATAATGTGTTCAAAATTTTGAACTTATCATATCATATCATGATCCAGGAGCCAAAATCTATAGACCAAAAACATGTTTTGTGAGGCCACCTTAATCTTTGTCCATCGAAATCTAACCAATCTTGGATAAGTTGAGTCCACGTGAATGTTTGTGCCAAATTTGAAGAAATTCCCTCAAGGTGTTTCTGAGATGTTGAGTTCACAAGATCGAAAACATACAACATGCCAAATTCTAACCAATTCATCCTTGAGTCCCAGTTAATGTTTGTACCAAGAAGTTTTGTGAGATCATGTTCAAAAGAATGGGACAAACAAACAGAAAACCCAGAAAGATAATGCTTCCTTCCACTGGCTGTCTGAATCATAGAGCCATACAAATCTACCATCTTAACATACAGGGGGGAGCAGGAGGGAATCAGTCGAGCAGACATGAAGTTACTCACTATGCCAGTGTGAGTTTGTCCAAATCGCTGTGTGTGTTAAAGGGGTAGATTTCTCCCAGGTGGCATAGCTTCTCCAAGGCCTCGTAGATGAAGATGAGGCAGATAAGGGCGGCGAAGGCCTCCTCTGTGAACCGAGTGATGTAGCACACCAGAGAGCTAGCATCCGTGGCAACCAACACCAAGCACAGGAGGGCTGTCCACAGGCCTATGCAGGTCCTCAGTGACAGATAGGACAGGCCATAGTCCCTGAATTGATGACACAAGATATAACTGTTAAGCAGAATAAATCTCGGGGTGGTGATCAAAAGGCTGTCAGGTTGTTGCAATAATGAACGTACTTGCAGAACTTGAAGAGGATTTTCTCAAACACCAGTACAGGACCTGTGCTGCCCAGAATGGTGAGAGGCTGACCAGCAAAGAGTGAGTATGCCACTCCAGTCATAGATGCACCAAGTAAGGACTCTATTGCACTCTATAAGAGAAATAATGGAAATACAGTGAGTGTATGTTGTTTGCTCTACAGGATTATATAGGAAACGATGTGTATGGCGTGTTCATGATGCTCTTATCACACTACAGAATGGGAATGCAGTATTTCAAAGTGATTGTGCTCTTACAATGCGTCCCTCTGTCGCCTCCCCTAACAGTCCTCCAAAGGTGATAACAGGAGACATGCAGGCACAGTAGAGGAAGAGAAAAGAGGCCACACACTGGAGGTTCAGTCCATCCTTATAGTCACTCAGATAGAAAGGAACTTTTCTCTTGATGTCCAGGATCAGACCGCCAAACAACCTGACCACAACACACGAGGAACGAAAAGGGATAGTGAAGTTTAGACAATAAGCAACACAGGGAAATGTCATCATGTCTAAAAGCATTTCCATAGCTTCATTGTAAGAAATGTCTCTAATTACTTCCCACAAAACTGCAATCTATCCTTTTTCATACGATACAACCCATGTTTTTGAAATGTTTGAACCTGAAAGCCTTATTGGAAGTTTGTGAAGCTAAGTTTAAAGCCTGCTGGATCTAGCTGCATAGTTCGCATAATGGTAGCAGTCTTCTGACCTAGCTCTCGGCAACAAAGCAAATAAGAGTATTTACAAATGTTCAACTGTTGGTCAGAAGTGTGAGGGTCAGTATGAATGGAAGATTTTTCTGAGGGTGTAACAGAAACGCACTCTTTTAGAAAATGAACGAAACATTTCCAAGCCGCCACACTTGTGTGCTGTGGTGGTTGTCACTTGCTTGTCCCAGCTCAGCTCTTGACAAATCCAAATTTAGATTGTATGGCCCTGAGCAACTGGCAGATGTGTTCTAAACTCAGCCTCACACAACAACACATCCCTTCAGAGGCCTCAAGCCTCCTCAATGTTTTTGCACTGGCTCTTTTTATGATGCATATTCTGATATTTTATAACCAATTGTGGGGAATAACAATTTGCATTTTGACATTGGCAGTTGTTTTTTCTTTTGATTAGTATATATCAATGAAGCAAATACCCTGTGCAGTAAACCAGAATGACAGTTTACCTCCCAGTTCTCTGCAGCTCTGGCCCATGGTGCTCAGCATGTAGTTCTTCCTCTACCTGGCAGGCTGTACCGTTAGGGACTCCTGGCTGCTTTCTCTTCTCCTGCAGACACAAAGTGACAGTCCTGGAACAGACCCTTTACCTATGCAGCCTTTACTGCAAAAAATCAAAGTTGTAGCAAAACCTGACAAGCAAATCTCTGTGGCATCATAACTGCGTACCTGAGAGGGGACATTCTTAGGTGGCTCGATGCGGATGGAGGGGTCCCACTCTCCTGGCGGCAGGACAGTCACCTGGTCCAGGAATTCATCTATTCCAGCAAGCAGGTCACCTCTGTCCTTCGCCTTGTACGCTACATCATGGAAGATCTGGAGCAGAGACAGATGTTGCTATTCAGTTTGTATTCTGAAGGTTTCTAAAGCTACTTTTTGACATTTGACAGAGCTCTGACCTCGTCTGTCATGATGGTCGCCATTGAGCGTCCAATTTCATGGTACTGCTGAGCCTTTCCATCCGGGCCCAGGAGAATGAAGAGGAACCTGTTTTTTGTCAATTTACAGCATGTAAATGGATTCTGGATGATTGAATTTAAATAATTTAATTTTATAGTGTTGTGGCTTTCTACCTGGTAGGTATGGGCACCTCAGTGAGGCCAGTGAGCAGAACGGCAGGAGAGAGGCGGACAAAGGCCACGATGGGCCTCTCGAGGAAGTCCAGCTCTCCCACCAACACATTGGAGGCCTCTGCCCCCTCTGGGATCTTCTTCATGAAGTGCATGTCCACCTGGTGAGACAAGGCAGAAATTACTATTGAGTAAGTTTACAAAAAATGTCAATTACTGAATTCCTAAGTCTTCAATGCTTTACGGTCAGCAGCTGTGGAGTCCACTGTTATCAAATGTAGTTCACCTGTCGTTTCCTAGGGGGCACACTTTGACCTAGTTGATTTTGTTGACATACATTGATAACACATCTCAACAGAGTGCAACAGCTTCATGTGAAGACCTGATTGCTCAGTACAACCAAAATACATCTACCGCTATACATGAACAGTGTGCACTGACAAACTGCCCAAATCCGTTTGTTTACCTTGCTGAGGTCGACCGGTTGAGCGCTGTCCTGTCCAGCACCGTTCTTAACTGATTCTGTAGCTGGAGGAGGCTGTGGAGACGTGGCTGTGAGGCACAGACAGAGAGAATCAGAGTCAGTACAGACCATTTATTGTGTCAACTGCAAAAAATAATTATAAAAGGAGGTAATAGTCAACTCATACTTACAATTATATGATTTGACACTGATTTTATAATGTACAGAAAAAAATTAAGATCAAAGTTTATAGCACTGGTTGAATTTGATTTTATCAGAAATGATCCGTAACAACTGTTAAAACATCTGGAACGTAATGAATTGAATGTAAAGATGTCATTTTGCTTATTTGGAGCCAGAGTCTATGCAGTAGTGCTCAGGTGATGGAGCCACTGTAGCGAGGTTCCGTTGATGTTTTATCCCATATTTACAGCATCAAACAACAAATAATATCAAACTTACTGAAAAGATGTAAACTTGGACAAACGTCAGTGTGATGAGAACTACCTACAACAACCTCTTTGAGAAAAATTTATTTGACTTGTTGCCTTTACCGCAAACATCCACCAGGTGGCGATCAAGGTGCTTTGGCATGACTTACTGGAAACTTTGGTCTATGTCCCATCCACAAACATGGAGGATTACGGAGATGGAGATTATGGTATATGTACATGACGAAACCCACCTGTCAGATGGGGCTCTGACTGTTTGCGGGTTCCCTCTGTGATGGAGCGAACGATAGGAATCAGGTTCTTCTTCTTCTCGTTCTGGTGATGGTGTCTCTTCAGCAGAGCCTCGCGCACCTTTATTCTCACGCTGTCGTCCAGCTCGTGGGACGCCTCCTGGTGGTCCAGCACCATGTCTGCAACAAACGGACAAACCACCTATAAAACTGACATCAGAGTATGATTGGACTGTTTCATTTCAGTGGAACCAGACAGCTTTTATTTGCACACTATTGTTTTTTTGGATCTGAATAGAGCTTCAATCCATTTATAATGAATAAACTACATTCACGAAAGAACCCAAATAGTAAGGGATCCTAGTGCTTTAACGATAAAATCTCCCTCTATGAAATACTTGTTTTCCATTAATTTAACACCAGTGTTCAGTATCTGCTCAGACACATATCGACATGTAAAAGCTCAGTGCAGAACAGTTTATGTCCATATGTGTCCAACATATCGGGTCATGTGGGACTGCAGAGGATAATCTGCATCTCTCTGTCACACTCCTCCCCTCTTCTTCTTCCCCCACTCCCTTCTTTTTTGTAGCGTCTTGCTGAGTCAGCACTAGATCTTTACCTCTTTTCTCCCTTTCCTCCATGACAGTCAATCAGGCACAAACACACACACACACACACACACACACACACACGCACGCACGCACGCACGCATACACACACACACACAGAGACTGCAGTGGCTGCATTCATTCCACTCTTCAAGGCCATAAAGCGCTGATGTGCTGAGCTCAGTCTCAGTATAATCAGCCATGTTAACTGGGACAGAGACAAAAAGGAGCCTGAAACTGAATTGAAACTCAAAAATATAAATCTGATGTAGCCTCCAGTCTTCTCATGAATCAAATTATGTATAGTTTCATTCTCTAACAGACTCTAGCAGCTCTGCCTCCTCCACACTGTCATCTGACAGATAACCATTAGTTACTCAATTAAAAGTGTAAGAACCATTTAATAATATCATTTCATGCTCAACCAGCCGGTGTACACAGTCACTGTTTAACACACACAGACTTTGATGTCGTTAATAAACAATTAATGGAACTTTTAATCAAGTTCAACCAACTTCAACCACACAATAAATGAAATGTATAAATTCTTCATATTCCTTTTATATTCCTTTAACCCAAAATATTGACATTTTTGGAATAAACTCATTCTAAATAAGAATTGATTAAATTAGACTGGTAATCTGTATTATACCTCTTTGGAGCACCAAAGCTCATTCTTGTGTTTGAATATCAAGTTTTTGTTAATAGATTGTGGGTGATAAAAATTTGAAAATGCATTTATTTGTTTACATTCTCCTGGTCTAAGTTTGAAGTTTGCTTAATCTCCAATCACAAACAAAACACAAATCAAAAAAACATGAATAAAATCTTTACTCTCTTGTTTTCTAACCATGTTGGTTACCAGGTGGTGCTGGCAGGAGTCACATGGAAAAGAGAGGGAAGAGGGATGAATGTGTGTGTGTGTGTGTGTGTGTGTGTGTGTGTGTGTGTGTGTGTGTGTGACCAAGGCTGTGGTCATTTTAACATTCATGGATTGCACAAACAGGGCTTATCCAGTCATGTGTTTGCATGCAAATACAGGTGTGTACTGTTCTTTCATGCAAATGACTGTGCATTTTATCTAATTGTAGATTTTATGCAAATCGACTTCATGAGTGTTAAGACACAAACACTCTAAGGTTTGTTCACCTTCACCATGCAAGCAGATCCTAAACATGAAGGCAACACTGTGTTGACAATTAAGATGCTTGTTTTACAATGTTAAGATCACAAGAGATTATCTAATACTCAGTGAGAACATTTCTGTGACTTATAATGTGAGTTTTTGTGTGTCTGTTTGTGTGTTTCTGCATCAGTCACATTGACGATGCTCCCCTCAGGCCTGTGCAATACGTGTGTTTTCTCTCTGAGGAGGTTAAATGGATTTGTAATAGACATCCAACAGACAGTTCATCTGAGATATTGGGTCTGTTTTATATCATGAATTTAAATTTTTAAAGGACAGGAGCAAGAAGTGACTTTACTTGTGATCATGTAAGAAGCAACACCAGGCACTTACACATTTCTTGCCAGGTTGATTCAGACACATCACTGTGATTTTTCCATCACATTCTTTAGAGTAATTTAAGATCCTGGGATTCTGAGGTCAAATGAAATGTTAATCTTTTTTTGTTCTGCCAACACTGTGGCTTGGTCTTCAGCACTCTGGTGGATGTTTCACATGTGAACTGCACAAATTCTCACCGGCAATCTCCTCGATGCTGTCAGCATGCATGTCAAGCAACACGCTGCCGTTGATGAGGCAACTGCGGAGCTCAAACAGGCTGTGGAGGGAGAGAGTCGCAACATAGGGCTTGCTCCACCTCTCGCCGCCATCCTCCACGTCTTCCTCAAACTTCAGCCACCTGCAAGACATCGGTATACGTCAGACTTGTTACACTGAAAGTTGGACCATAAATGAAGTGCAACTACATTTATTTTTAATTTGAAATAATACAAAAAATGACAATATTTTGAAAATGTATTCTTAATATATTGTTGAAATAAAAAATAAAGGCTAGCTCTCACTTTTCTTAACTTTTTTTAAGTTTAATGTTGTTCATTTAATGCTTTTGATGGCCTTAAATTTACGGATGGGTTTAGTTATATACGAGTAGATCTAAGATGACAGCAGGAGACAGAGGTGAACACATACAAAATCTGAACTATTATGAAAGATTATCTTTGATCATAATGAATAAAACATAAATATTCACAATGTAGAATTCAAAGAAGTGTTATCATTTTATGTGCATTTAATTTGATTAACTAAAAGGATGTTCCACCTATTATTTTTTGCAATCTCTTACTAAACCCTCATAAGTATGTGTTTTCTCTGAAGTGCTTTGTCCATCAGAATATATTTCCTGCTCCAGTTGAAGGGTTACTTCAACTCTTCCACTTCTACTCTAGGTCTCTAGATTAAATGTTGGTCTTAGAAATTTGATTGATGCAGGCCCAGATCAGATCAGCACGGATTGGAACTGTGGAGCACTAAACTTGAAACAGATATATATTTTTTCATACACACATAAATCCTTAGATCATCAGAAATTTAGCATTTGAGGTTCATGAACTAGAACACAGCAGCTTTTTCTTTTTTTTTAGTCTTTGGAGCTTTTTGCTTTAAGGAAATCCAATCCACAGAAGCCATCCACTTAGCTCTAAAACGTAGCTCCCTCATATACACTGTGAAATTCCCCCTTCATATCAGAACAGCAGTAGAGCCGCTCAGTTGTCAGGAACTCTATCGACAAACATTGTTGCCAACGGCTCCCAGAGGAGAGCCTGACCTGGCTGTTTCTTTCCACTCAGCGTCCTTGCCATCCTTTACACAGATCTCATCCAGCTCGGTGAACAGTTCATGAGCCACATGTTCAGCGTCTTCTTCTGAGCCCAGGATGAACTGGACCCTCTGGGACGGCGTATCTGGTGAAGCCAGACGGTGTAAGCGAGGGAGGGAGGAAGGAGAGGAGAGATGTGGGGTCGTCAGAAGGTTACAATTAAAATGCTGCCTCCTTTACATGCCTTTTGCATGTCTCCTAGTTTTAGACAAGGCCTAACATACACACTGCTTGTAACCATATGCATATACACACACACACAAACATGCACACACTCTCACGCAATATGCTGATAGTTCCTGCTCTTTGGTAGCTAATTAGTGTGCATGTCAATTTTAGCCTGGAGAGCTGTATGTGTGCTTGTGCATGTGTGAGGTGCCTGCAATATTGATGGACTTTGTTTAACGACCATGTGGGAGCTGGATGTGCAAGTAAGCACGTTCTGTGCATGCAAATCTTTCTCTCTGAAGGATTAATGACTGCATGAGATTGAATTTGAAAAGTAAATGACACCGTCTGTGTGCGTCCGTGTACAGTACCATGGCTGGACGGGGTTGTCTCAGATCCCTCGCTTTGCTGTGTTGAGCTACTTCCTGCCCGTCTTTCTCTCTTTCGGTGGCGAGATCCATGGGCCTTGTGGTGACGATGGCCCTGCTTGGGCATCCGCACCCCCACAAACAGAGTCCTGTGGCCTGGAAAAGAAAAAAGAGGAGTCATTTAACTTTTATTAACAAGTAATGCTTTTATACACTCATGGTCATAGTGTCCCAATTTGTTATAGTGAATTCTGGTAATCTGGACTGCAACTTTGACTACTTTTTTTGGTATCTGTTTTAAACATTAGATCAACATAGTATACCTTTCTTTAATTGTTAAGATGTTTTCGAATAACACCACAGGAAAGAATGGAGATATCATAATCAGAGGAGAGATGACACAGATATTCTTTATGCCTAAAGAATTTGATAGTATGGGAAAGGTCACTTTGTTTTATCTGGGACCACTGCACACCACTGGATCATCTCTGTCTTAGAGAGCTCACTGATTATGTGCTAGTTAGCTAACCAGACAATCAGTTTAAACAGACAGGGACAGACTGTATTTACCATTAACTCCTGTCTGACAACTGCTACATCTCATAATTTTTTTTTCTTACTTCAGGAATTCCCTAAATGCATATTTCCCTCTTTTACAGAACCCAAATGACTGTCCCACATTAACCAAAGCACGCAGTCAATCATATTTGATAAAGTGGGACAATTAAAAAATGTTTTAAACAACTCGATGCATATTTTGTACTTGAATAAATTTAGGAAAATTATCTTATTTATTCTGATTTATATCCTTAACATGAATCTTGTCAGAATCCTATGTCCAAGGGGCGGGCTAATGATTTACTCTTGCCTCACTGCTTTCTGTGACATGATATCATGTGATTTCAGTCACATGCTATCCATGCCAACATGAGTCCTGTTGACTAGATTTTGTTAGAACAGGAAATAAACAGACGGGGGTTTAGGTGTCCCACATTACCCACTGCCCCAGATATTCACCCAATGCTCATTATTGACTTGTCCATTTACAGTGTCACAGCTTTAGTACTGGGTTGCATTTGAGTCACTAAAGCATATGACACAACCTTTACATAGAAATGGCCATAAAGGTTCTGAGGAGTTGAATAAGCGCACCTTGAGGAGATAAAAATGTACTTGATTCCATGTAATTAATTACAATAGATCCAATAAGACTAAGGTTTACTATTTGAGTTTTCTGCAGCATTTTCTTTGCTTCTTCTGTCTTTTATTTCTCAGTCAAGGTATTCGAAGAAAGTCCCAACCAAAGTGACAAAGTACCACAACTGTCATGTTTGCAGTTTTCTCTTTGGTCAAAGAGTATTTTAAAGATCTGTTAAGCTCTTCAGTTTCGAGTCCGATCTTAAACAAATGTAGTGTTTGTAACCATTTGAACCATTGTTACCTTCACCTGTTCTGAATTGTTTTTGTTGTGATAACTGATTCGTTTTTTAAAACACCTTCCTGCAGTCTGTCCAATGTACTTTCAAAGATATGAACCTGACTATCAGACCTCTTTTACAGCATATACATAATGTAGAATGCATTGGAAAAGTGTTTTTACTTTTCATTTTACTGAGAAATATGTTTTTCTGTCATCTGCTAATGGAACAATGTACAGTTGACCACAGTCTGTTGGACTGACTGGTGAAGTAAGTGAAAGTGAAAGCCATTAAAGAGAGAATAAGGTTTTGGTCTGAAGCTCCACAGGGAGAATTTGGGAAAGACACACTGTATCACATTGACCTCAACCACTGCTATCTGCAATTATCAGTGCATTCAATGTTGAAGGCAACATGCTGCGAAAACAAGAGGCTGAATCCAGTTTTATTTGAATCTCAAAGAAGAAGCTTGTAAAATGAACAGTTGTGACACGTGTGTGTGTGTGTGTGTGTGTGTGTGTGTGTGTGTGTGTGTGTGCTAATATATTTTGGGGTACAACAAATGAGCTGCAGTGTTCCCTCACTATACATGTTATTATCCCTGTAGGAAAGCAAAATGATCCAAGTCAGACACACACAACTGTTCTCCTACTGTATTATATATAAATATACTGGAAATGACTTAAATAGGAAAACTTTCCTCACATGTGGTGTAAGATAATTATACTATATTAAAGTAGAGCTTTAAAGAAAAGGTATTTCCATTAGTTTTCAGCATACCTCTACTCAACTACATTTCAGAAGAACATGATGCCTTTTTATTTCACTTTTTTCAGTCAAATTACAACTAAACGTTCTTACATGCTAAACATCTGCTGAGCTCATTAAGTACCATTCATGGTGTTATGGTGAAGGCCACAGGAGTGAAGTTCATTGGCTACAGATTGCACACCTAGTGCAAAATGCACAATTCATTCTGGACATGTTGTTGCCAAGACGCTGTTTGGAATAAATGTAGTACAATTTGTCAAAGCTGAAAATCAGCAAATAATGGAGCGCTGCAGTGAAAATGCAGAAACAGAGTTATCTCTGCTGGTTCTTTAGGTAAATGAGAGAAATCCCAACAGAGCATGTAGTTAAAGTAAATCAATTTAAACTGCACAGTGGTTTGAAAGCACACCCCTTCTCTGGCCATCTAAAATGACTGATAAAGTAGCAAAACCAATCAGAAGTAATCAGGTATAACGATAACAACACATAAAGCATCATATTTGAATATATATGTATATAATATATACGTATAATCATGCATAGAATAAAAAATAAAAGCAAGGGTAAATGTAAAGGGAAAGATATTCAATAAGCGGTTTAAGGGAAAAGATTGCTGTCTATTAGAGTGATTTATATAGTGACTTTAGTTTTAAGATAAAAGGTGAAAATCTAGAAGGCGATTCAGAAAATGTCTATTTGGATAAAAGACTTATAGAATATAGAATACCTCAATATGCACTAAAATAGAATAGTAGTTTCATTTATCATTTTATAAATAGCATAGAATAATAAAGTTGATCAGGGATTCATGGGCAACATTTCCTTAAGCTATAAATATTCAAACATCTGCAGTTACATCACCAGTGTAGACAGATGTGCAGCATGGCTGAAAGTTTGAGACCTTGGAGAGGAGAGCAGCAGCTTTAGGGCTGATGAATTATAATTTGAGGAAACAGATTTGATTTCCGCAGTCGCTCCCTTTCATTTTCTCTGCGACAGTGACAATAAACAGCATCATTTAACACCAAGAAACACGTCTGAAACAGAGAAAATGTGCAAAGATTTATTCTTCTGCCTATAAAACAACCATGATAGAAAATGAAAAAAGAAAACATTCCACATCTTCAAAAGTGAAAATTATTGCCGGCATCAGAATGACAGAAGACTTCTTTTGTTAATGTGATTAAGCAGCATGGGATCATGAGAGTTGTTGTGTTTACCATGATTAGATGAAACGTCCTACATCTAGAATAATATTGTGGATTTCTCAGGGTTTTGGATTATTGGAAACATTTTGGATAATGTAAGTACACAAGTCAACAAAATATAAAACATAATTCTAGTCATTTTTAGACATTTCAGTGAAAAATTGTATCATATCTCTAAAGGCACAGTGTGTAGAATTTTGTGATATCTAGTTTTGAAGTTGCATGTTGCAGCTGAACACCCCTCACCTCACCCTCTCCTTCCAAACATGAGAAAGAACCTGTGGTAGCTTCAGTTGTCATTAAAACTCAAAAGGTGTTTAGTTTGTTCAGTCTGGACTAATGTAAAAAACATGGTGGCCTCCATAGAGAGGGTCCCCTCCATGTAAATATAAAGTATTTCAATATAAAGTATTTAAATATAAAGGGCCTTTTCTGGGGTAAGGAAAACTACAATTCATACAATTTAGATGAAACTATATAGTGAAAACATCATGAGGATTATTCTTCATAAAATTTCTGCCAATAGATCCCTTTCACCTGAATCTTACACACTGGAGCTTTAAGTAAAAGCTTTGACTATGTTTTCAAGCTGTGCAGGTTACTCACCTTCTAGTTCCTCCTTCTCATAGTGGATGTTCAGCACAGAGCTCGTACCTCCCTGGTCTACCACCACCTCCTCATCCGGCCTCTGACGAACACAGACATATGAAAAAGAAGACATATGTGAGGATAATGTTACTGCTCTTAAAAGAGGATGTCACTGCAGACACCACGGCTATTTCCATGGCCTCACATTGTTCGTGATGAAAAGTTCACCTCTGTAGGACACCGTCATGAAAGGCTGTTTTGTCCTGAGGTGTCGCGTTTCAGGCAAATTATACCACTGTAACAGAGCAGCTAATTGGCCGAACTGACAAGAGCTTTTCAACAATGAGCTTCAAATTCCAGACAGTCTATTCTCAGACTGTCTGGCACAGAGGAGAGCATACAAACAAACACAAACACACACACACACACACACACACACAGCCAGAGGTAAGTAAACACAGTATCTGTCAGTTGGAGAATGTGCTGGCTCTACTATCCAGGGGAAATCAAATCAAATCAAATTAGCAGAGCGCCACATCCATCAGCGGTGCTGCTGTTGGCATGCTGCTGCAGGATGTTACCAGGTGTTGGTGTCACTGTATCCGGGACAAGGCTTTCTCGCTGTTTGCTCACGTGCAGCGGTGTATAATATTCACAGCCATGTGTCAGTCCTGTGATAATGAGGGTATAGAGGAACCTCTTCTCTGCTCTGTCTCTGTTAATCTCACTTCCTCAGCAGGAGTGCATGCAAGAGTAAATCTTTCTAATTCCTGAGAGCCCCCCACATGCTGATAGAAACAATGAGTATGTACCACTGCAGCAAAATCTAAATAAGTTCATTTCACCCCTTGTTTCCAAACAGAAATGTAATCTCAAACACAGGTAGGATAATGGGCCCACTGCTGGATGCTACATATGTGAGCGCATAAAAGCCAGATAAAGCTGCTTCAAATAAATCAGAAACTAAAATCTATAAATAAATGCAAACGGCTGAGGGGTTCCTGCCTCCCAGCAACATACACGGGGCTTTGACTAATCTTCAACTGCACACACGAACATAAATGCAACTCCCTGCATAATAGATGCTTCTGCCCACTCATATGATCTGTGTGTATTAGTTATGCTTCTTTGAATGTGTGAGGGGGAGTGGAGGCAGAACTGGCTCATATACATCTTGACACCCACTCTTCAAAAATAAGACAAACAGCGCAGAATGTTGAAACAGCTTTTTCTTTTAAAGAAATCAGTTTGGAGTTTGGAGTCACTGTAACTGATTGATGAGGAAACACGGCACAGAAGAGAAGCACATTAATGTAGTTGGTTAGTCAGATTAGTTCATTAGAAGCTTATTTATAGTGTTTATAGCGCCTCTCTTCATCAGGAGAGACTTCATTTGAAAGAGGAACAAATCCTTTTGCTGTGCACAATTAGAGAATAAAAAGATGTAATACAAACAAGAGTTTATTTGGTGTTTAGACCCCTCCTTGAGATTGAAAGGGGGGGTCTAAACACTGATGGTGGTTGATGGGTTGTAGAGAATGTTGAGGATCTGACACTCGAGAGTGGAGGTGACTGAGGAGGAGGAGGGTCGTAGAGCATCAATGAAATGACAGCTGACAGCGACAGAGAGGACAGATTTAAAGTTTGGCAGCAACGACGCAATTGGCTCATTGAGATTGAGCTTACCATTAAAACCCAACACTTAGCTGATTAGGCATGAGAGTGAATAATGAATGAATGGAACTTAGAGATGTCATTCTGATTGAACTTAAGCTAAGCTTCATTTAACATGATATTTCTCTGTGTTCAACTAAAGATGTATGAATGAATGACGACGGGCCAGTATACGGAGAACACTGAGAGGCTAACAAGAAGTCATGCAGTCTTGTACAGTAATTGTTCATTCCGATATCCAGCAGCTGCAGCACGCACTGAGGCCTGGGCTGCTACATGACGGCCACACAGAGGCAAAAAAATTTTAATTCTTCTGCCTGAAGCGCTGCTGCAAAGGGCTGAGAGTTTGTATTTGTTGGAGTGGAGATGAAAATGTCTCGGTCTGTCAGAGCAGCATGGAGGAGTAAGATCCTCATTTATTCTGGTGAAAAACATTATGGTTTATCTTATGAGAAACATAAAACTATATATGTGCTGTTAATTAAAAAATGACTGGTCCCTTTATTGAGGCTTTTCAGGAAGTAAAACTACATTAAAGTACCCTGTGTGTATATAACTGTGTGTGTATGACTGTGTATGAAGGTGTGTGTATAATAGTTCTCCTGGGCTCTGGCTGTTAAAACAACACTTTTATTGACATTTAAAATCCCTCTTTTGAATCAGGCTGGTTTCTTCATGCAGTTAGGAAATGTGATCAATGGTGATAGTAGTGTGTGTGAACAAGAGTGTGTGTGAGTGTGCATCTCTATCAGACTGTATTTACGTGCACCCTGAAGACCCTAAGCTGTATTTTTATCTTCCGTCTCCTTCCTTCAGCCGCTCACGCTGCTAAAAACGCAACCGCTAAGCACATTAGCACAAGATTGCGATAAGAAAAAAACTAATTAACATGCAGTTCAGCAAGATAAATGTCTTACCTGATTAAATTCAAAAGTTCAAATCCAGCTCTGAAAGGCTTTCTGTTATATTTTCGTGCGACTCCCTCTGATATTGTCACCGACAGCCACTTATGATACACCCAATATTTGGGATCCCAAGACATCCACTTTGAATTCACAGGTGTGGGTGGCCTGGCACTGCTTCCCTTTCTCTCCTTTCACACTCTCCCCACCACCGCTCCAGCGCAGAGGGATTTCTCTCTGTTTCCATGACTGAGCACATCTTTCTCCCAAGACACTTCTGTCCTTTTGAAGAATAAGGCCACTTAATTAGGAAGTCAGGCTTGGGCCAAGTACTGAGTGTGACTCATGGTTTTATAATTGCATTTGTATAGAGGATGAAAGTGTGGTGAGAGGAAAATGTCTTGAGACGATGTGAAGTTAGTGTACCCGAGCAAGGCCCTAAACCAGCAGCAGTGGTTGTTTCATGGGTAGTTTTACTGCGGGAGATTGAGAGCAAACATATATAGCAGCTGTGGATATGTGTAATGACAACAATATAATCTCAATCATACATATACATCTTAGTATGTTTTTTTTTTTTAAATAGTCACAAATATTTATTTATTAATGACAATGGATGATGTATAACAGACCAACATGAAAAGTGACCGACTTACATCAACCACCACAGTGTCCAAGTCTTCATGTTGTGGATCATGCGCTAAAAATAATGTGTCTGTTGTCCAGAAGTGCAAGATGTTTTATGTCAATAGGGGAATTTTATATTTTTAAATATTGCGAAGTAATAATGTGCGTACACAAAGGTATAAGGCAATTTAAGCTTAAACTCCAGAGAATTCTGGTCTGGAACCTTGATCGTTCCTGCAGATCGGCCCTGATTTTCTGAAAGCGTGAGTATATATACAGAGTCAATATTAAACTTCCCAAACTGCCTGCAGATCATCTGTGCAGCCGCGATAAATATCGAACATGTTTAATATGTAACTTGTGAATATAGCTGCCTCTGGAGCAATACTCTTAATAATATCCTATCATGTGTGATGGGCCATGGGTGTGTGCATGATCGAGATCATAGAGAAGAATATCTGTGAAGATTCCCCTGATGTTTGTGATGCAATCTTCAAAACTAGGTGAGACATAATATCTATCACAATTATAATTAGGTTTGCCAGATGTGATTGAGACAGCATTTTTTCAGTGCTAATCTAACTTAAAGCTCTTTACAGCACAACTTCTATAGCCAATGCAGTGTTTTATATATCACACATCATCCACACACAGCCAGTACAGCTGTCAGAGGAAATCTAGAGTTCAGAGTCTTGCCCAAGGACACTTCAGCATGTGGACTGCAGCATGCTGATGTGTCCTTGAAGTGCATGTGTCCTTGGAGTCCAAATAGAGCTGGGGATTAAACCATCAACCTCCTGGTTATTGAAGACAAACCTGCTCTACCCATTTTTAAAGAAAACCCCTTTTTTTCACAAATCCCTGCAGAACTGATCAGTAGACCTCAGTTATTATGAAAAACCTGCAGAATTGTTCTTTAGACCCCGTATTTAACTTGGCTGGCCTCCATTCTGGTCAAAACTTATGATTGCGTGATTTGCCACCATAAATTAAGTTTTGAGGACAGCTTATAAAAGTTAGTAGAAACGAATACTTTGCTAAGTTTACAAAGAACATTAAATACTCTTTATTCACAGCGTATGCCCACTGGCCTCTAGAATCACAGGGTATACACACACATACACACACACATACACACACATACACACACACACACACACAAACACACAGTGTTATCAGTCAGTGCAGCTGTGGCCTCCGTGCAGTGTGTGGGTTTGGGCTCAGGCTGGAGGCGGTCGGCTCCATTAGAGCTGGAGCTTTATCATACACACACACACACACAAACACGCACACACACACACACACACACACACA